CAACAGTAAGAAAATTATACGCACCCAACCTCCTTACCCTGATCAAAAATCTTTACCCAGCTTTTATTTTCTCAATTATCTGTTCTAATCACAATACTTCCAGTTTCGGAAGTGTTTTGAATGATGAAAATTTTCATCTTTTGGCGATGTCAAAATTTGAAAAAAATTAAGATTTGACAAATTTGGAAATTAATGTCCATCTAAACGTTTCGGAGAAAGCAATGCAAGATAAAGACACCGTCCTACAATACATCGTAGGAGCAAAGAAACAAAGGACAAATACCTCGCAATTCTGAAGTATCGCACTATGAAACATCCTAGCTGAAAATAAAGCTGTAAAAAATAATATTTTAGACACGACGATTTAGAATTTTTTTCTCCGCGATGTGACCCTGAAGTCATAGAACGTTTTGTTCGGAAGTCCTTGACGCGTATCCAATACTTTATTTTACCTGAAAGCTTTGGGATCCCCCAGACCGCGCAAAATATTAAATTTATCTTTCTTGAAAACATTTCTTACTCATTGTTCCAATTACTGCATAAACCTATTCACCTAATTTTGAAAAAATTGTTAGTGCATGCATATAATATAAATATTTATATAATAAGCAAGAAGCAAGCTAGTAAGTTTTGCAAATATTTGACATTGAGGGCCAAGAGAAAATATAGAAGGCAATAAATTGTTTAAAAAGTAAGGAAATTATTTATAATTGTATCAGGAGTACTGCAAAGCTATCGTGTACATTCTCTTAAATATAAATTACGAATACTAATTTTGGTGTAGGCTTATTTATATGTATTAGCGTTAGAACCAAGTTTGAGAGAAAAATGAAATTTTTTGTGTAAAAAAGAGCACATCTTTGTAAAATTACAAAACCTCACATATTATTAATATTCTAGCTTTTGAACTCCGAAATGCATCCAAGGTTTTATCATTTTAAAGGTATTTAGTTTATGTTTTCTGCAAGAATCTGACAAAGCTTTCACTATTACAGAAACACTTGTTAATGTCTGTGCCACAATTACTATGCCATGAAATTTGCCTGTTTCTCTTTCCTGATATTTATCCTTCATATTGGTAGGTTACTAAAGCGATTTAAAGAGAAGAATTTCTCTTTCTTTAATCATTCTTCCTGTTCTCCGGATTTGACTTCTTGTGTCTACATTCAGTCTCAGAACTAGACTGTTTGGCAGGAAAATGTTGTTTTCTGCTGGCATTCATAAAACCCAAATAAATGGAATAGTTTCATAAATAGTTATTTCAAGTTTATGATTGTGTATTCATAATGCATCATACTCCCATACAACAAAAAAAAAAAAAAAAAAAAAAAAAAAAAAAAAAAAACATGTGGATATTTCAGCTTCCCCTCTTCCTTTGCCAAGTTTAGCTTCCTCCTGGTTCGTAAGAATTTCGTCTTTACAGAATGAGAATCTCATTGCCATGGTCGCCACGTTTTTGGACGCGCTGCTCTGCTAATGTAGTTTGATTTCCTTTTTTTGTACTTCGTGACTTTTTATATGCTGCCGATAAAGTTTGAAATCCAGCATTCTATAGAAAGCTGTATGTAACGCTTAAAACCAGCTGGCACTGCATGAAACGATTCATGTTTATTAAACGTTTATTTCTACTTTTATATCCAAATCATTCATGTTATGAATTTGTAATATAATAAGAAAGGATGATAAATACCTTTTGAAATAAATATAAGAGATAATATTTATATAACAAAATCGTAGCAATTTTACTTTGGCTAAATCGCAGAATAGGCTGCATCAGTCGATGCTGTGTTTACTTCTCTTATGCTCGGACACGCCTTTTTATGACGTAATATTGGTTACGCCTCTCCTTAAAAACAAGTTATAAGTATGCTATAGCTTCGTATTTAAAGAAAACTTAAATGAAGTTTTAACTGAGTTGAAATGGTAGGTTTCTGCGCGAGATATTTTTTTTAATTATAAATCTACTTTTGTGTGGTGTGTGGTAGTGTTAGCATTTAACGCAACGAATTATCTCTGACAAATATGTTATTAAGATACCAAAGGATTGAAAACGATCATTACCAAACGATTGAAAATATTGAATGCATGAGTTAAAAATTATAGCCGTAACTTCTGAAAATACAGAAAAGAATTCTTTTGCTTAAAGTATGTTTTGATTATTGATGAGTGTGTCAAAATCGGTTCTTACTGCAGAATGGATGAGTATTTGAATCTGGATTTTTTTAATCAGTTGGAACGAAGAGGCAAAAAGAGCGTTATTGAGTGGTGTATGGAGAAAAGTTTGATTGCAATATCGTATAAATGTCCAGTTTGTGGAACAAATATGAAACTACTAGAGAGACGGTTTTGAGACGTATAGACGATTTTGAGTGGTGCGCAATGCCGAGCTTGTGCAACTCTGAGATTTTTTTTAAAGTGAAAATTGATCGAATTGCACATGGGCAAAGCCAATGCTGTGCGCGATGCCGAGTTTGTGCAATTCTGGGATTTTTTTTTAAGTGAAAATAGATCGATGTGCACATGGGCAAAGCCAATGTTTGCGCAATGCCGAGGTTGTGCGCGATGCCGATTTTATGCAACTCTGGGATTTTTTTAAAGTGAAAATAGATCGATGTGCACATAGGCAAAGTCAATGTGGTGCGAAATGCCGAGTTTGAGCAATTCTCTGATTTTTCGTTAAGTGAAAATCATTCTTCCTGTTCTCCGGATTTGACTTCTTGTGTCTACATTCAGTCTCAGAACTAGACTGTTTGGCAGGAAAATGTTGTTTTCTGCTGGCATTCATAAAACCCAAATAAATGGAATAGTTTCATAAATAGTTATTTCAAGTTTATGATTGTGTATTCATAATGCATTATACTCCCATACTCTGATTTTTCGTTAAAATTATGGAGATTAATATTAGATGGATGAGCACATGGACACCGAGTTTGTGGAATTCTTTGATGTTTTTCAAGTGAATACGGATCGTTGTGCAAAAGGGAAAACGAGGTTGTGTGTGATGCCGAGCAGTAATGTAACTTTATTTATGTGCAATGTTTAACATATCGTTTGTGTATTTAAAATTTGTATTGTTGTTTTAATTGTGAATTATATTTAAGACGTCATTTTTCATTTAAATTGTATTTTTAATTTTTTGGTTTTGATATGTTTATAACACTTTCCGACTTACGATATATATCGATAGCCCGACGATCTACTCAACAGTAGCAAAACTGTAAACTTAACCCTTGAAGTAACGTTTACCTCATATTTTAATACGTAGTGTTTGGTATGGTAATTGCACTTGATAATATGACTTCATTGATAATATGTGGTGTGTGCGTATGTGAAGCATTGCTTTGTGTTCCAAGATTGTAGTATTTATTTTATTATATTATTTTCTTTCATTCTGAGAAATTATATTTTTTTATTTATTAATGCGTAGAATTCTAGTATGCCTACACAGAATATGGCGTGATTTAGGAATTTTAGAAACTGATATGAAAGCTGTGTAATGATGTTCATATGCAATAAAAAATATTCTTTTTTTTATTAAATGTAAAGTTTAAAATTTTTAGAAAATAATGAAAATTGTCTAATTATTGGTATGTAAGGAATTATGTCGTTACGTAGCAAGAAGGTAATTTGTAAAAATGAGAAAATTGAAATGTTCCACAATATGAATTTAATTTTTTTTTTTATTTGTATAAATGTTTTAATAAAAATCTTTGAAAACATTGAAGCTCTACAAGTATTAGAAACTGCGACGTTGTTTATCGTTTTAATAATTGGTAGAACTCGCTCACTGTATCATGGTAATTTTAAATATCAACAATTTATTATACTTATTATGAGTAACGCCTAAGCTTAAATGTTATAAACGTAAATCAAAAGTAAAAATTTGATATTAATTTACAATAATAAACAATTTATTATTGTTATTTTAAAGAGAAAATAGAAAGTACACGTAGTGGAAATGCCAGACTACCATGACTACATTGTGACGTCATAACCTTAGTCCCACCCATTTATGGACGTCACACAGCTCCTCCTACTGAACTTTGTTGATGCAGCCTATTCTGCGTTTACTTTTAGTAGTTTGTTTTCTTTTCTACCCTTTGTTACAAACTTATGGAAGTGATTAATCAAATCGTCTTAACATTAAGTTTGAATATTTAGGCAATTTTAGACTTGTCGGTAGCAAGTGCTATGAGCAAATCCGTCAATGTCAGTGAGAAGGCGGAGCTTAGAAATGAAAAGGTGTAACTTCAAATTCATGTTTTGTCCTCGAAAATGCTAAATTTAATTCCACAGAAATTTTAACTACAATCTTATTTAAGCATCTAGAATCCCTTTTTAAGGTTCTAAATTAACATTATATAACTATTTAGGCTTCTTACTCTTAACTTTTTAGGTAATACCTTTCTCGGGAGGTGTGTTCAACAAACTGATCTCAAAAAGGAGTGTCCGTTTCCAAGACACTTTGGAGAATTTCCAAACAGCAAACAATCGAATACTTATGTAAATACTTGGAAAATTTCAGTACAGTTTCGTTCAAATCATCAGGCGTGCCAACAAGTTGTGACCTACTACTTTTCATTAAATTTTTCAATATTGATGGGTGGACAAAATATTACACGCGAATGAAACGCATTATACATCCTTTGGGAGTAAAGTAATAATACCATTAAATACTCTAATCGCTATTTTTACATAGATTTTTCAAGACCAAGAATCCAAAGACGCATTGGATTTTAAATACAAACAATGTGCTTAATATATAATATTTCTATTATATGCTTAATGTATATGTAGCACTTAATATATATATATATATATATATTAAAAGTTTTGGTTAATTCTATGAATTTTCAGTGTTAAATAAATTCGGAAGGTGAGCATTGCAAATAAAGACTGAGTTAGAAATTTCTACCTACCAGTGTTTCTCTACGCCTATCTGATGTAAATAATAGGAAAAATAATACACGCAAAGCAGACGATTCTGTGAAGTTTTGTTACATTACGCTGCATTTCCATTTTATGGCGAAGCGGTGAGTATGTAGTACGTTGTACACGTGTTTATTTGTATTGCATGGTTCCGTAGGTGGACTGTTTGTCGTTCTTGCTGATTTTCTCTACTATGTGTCTCGCTCGATTTTAAAGGCCGGCGGCGGTGGAAAGCATAATGTCGGAATGGGAGAATTTCTCAGAAGGCTCCAAGATTATTTATATAGAGATTTTTTTTCATGAACGTCTACGTTAGGCAGAAGGAGTTCTTCCAACGAAAACAAAATACAGTTTGAACAAAGAACATAAACGTTCTTTATTTTGTCAATTTATCAGATTTTACGGAAAATTAATTTAGGTCTCGAATAAAACCAGACTACAGTTCATTCAGGAATGTTCTTGAAGATTCACAGGACTATAAAATTGCTAAAAAAAGTTATACTTTTTATTTACCTTCCAAAAATATAAAAATTCTACTTTTACTAAAATTTTCTAATTTACGTTTCTCTGATAATTTAGATATTTTAATGTGAAACACCTGCCAATCATTTTTCAATGCATGCTGCCTGGGAATTATTCTACACATTAATCTGGTATAAATAGATAAAAAAATTGAAGTATAACTTAATTCAAATTTTAAGCATATTTTTTTAATTAAATGAAACTGCGTTGTGATTTGACGGCAGAGCGGTGAGTTTGGATAGCATTGCATATCTCCAATTTTTATTACCTGCTGTCGTAGCTGGATTGCTCTTTCGCTTAATCTTCACCACAAAATATTTCGCATCATCTTAAACGGAATAAAACGTCGCTGCGATTTTGGACCTGCTGTCCTGCTGCATAATTTGATATCCTTTTTTATATTTCTTGATTTTGCTTTTATATCGAAATCATTCATCTTATGAATTTATCTTGCTAGCTTTACTAACGTGGTTTCTTTTCTATCCTTTGTTACAAATTTATTAAATTGATTAATGAAATTGGCTCAACATCAAGTGTGAAAGTCTAGTTTTGATTTGTGAGTTACAAGTGTTATAGACAAATCAGTCTATGTTCGTCTATGATAATGACGGAGCTTAGAAATCAAAAGGTATAACTAGAAATTCATGTCCTGTCCATGAAAATGGAAAATTTGATTCAACAGAAATTTAATCTACATTCATACTTAAAAATCTGAAATCCCTTTTTTGTTCTAAACTAACATTATATAACAATTTACGTTTCTTAATCTTAGCTTTTAAAGTAATATCTTACGCTGGAGGTGTGTTCAATAAAATCATCACAAAATGGAGTGTCCGTTTCCAAGAATCTTTGGAGAATTTCAAACAGCAAACAATCTAATTCTTTTGATATGTCAGTGGGAAATACTTATAATATTTCTGTTTCGTTTCTCTCAAATCATCAGGCGTGCCAACAAGCTAGTTTTTCAATATTGATCCCTAACTTCTTTGTAATGCGTGAAGATAATATTACATGTTAATGGAAAGAATTATACATTTTTCTAGAGAAAAGTAAAAAGTTACATTAAAGACTATAATAATGTTGCTCATAATACTAAAGGGATATCGTTAAACATCAATGAATGCTTCTCAGAAGTCAATGAACAAATTGAAGATCGAATTTTCGTATCAGACTAAATTATCTGTACATTTTGGACACTATAAATCAAGTCAAGTAAAGAATATTATAAAAATATGAAAATTGAATACCTCTCGATCATGAAATCATACAAGCAAACGATCTCTCAAGGAAATATATAATAGTCGGATGATTACCATCAATCAAAATAAGCATTCATCTCTGATAACTTTTCCAAACAGATAATTTTCGAGTAGCCTTTAAGAAAACTGAGGGAAGTTGGCACGCGATCCAAAATGGAACACTTAACAATTTTCTTATTTAACTTTAAAATTATTTTAATTCCTTCAATTTGGAATCACTATTTTTACATAAATTTTTCGAGAGCAGGTTTCGATTCGTAAATGCAATGGATTTTAAAACCAAATAATGTACCTAATATATAATATATTTAATAGATACTTAATATGTATGTTTACTATGTATTTAATATATATATTTTTAAACGGTTGTGGATAATTCAAAGAATTTTCAGTTTTATTCAAATTCTCTAAATTAGCATTAGGAAATAGAAAGATTCCTATTCCGAGAAATCAAAGGTTCTGGACAATTCTATAGAACAAAGAACTTCTCTTTCTTCAGACTACTAATTTTCTTTCTATCTGAAGAACACGTGCTGGTCAAAGGAGAAGTCTGAAAAAATCCCTGTGTAAACAACCTCCGAAATTTCGCACAAATTACGACAATCTGACATTGTATTTTGAATTGACGTCACACAGGTTTGTATAATAAATTTGTGATTTTATTGCTTTTAAGACATGGACCTTATAAGAAATAGACTAACCCAAATGGGTTTTTTCCCTCGTCTGAGGCGTTCACGGCTGTCACCTTGATCGCATCCGTAGGAGTAGGGACGACTTGCAGAAATTTAACATTTCTTGCCTATTGCAGCGTGTATAATAGTCAAGAAAAAGCTAGTTGTAGCGCCTCATTTCACAAATTAGAATTTCTACATATTATCATTTTTGAAATCGAGATTGATTTTTAAAAATTTAGCATATTTATCAAGCATAATTAACGTTCCAAAAAAATATCCAGCCCTGAAATATTGCATGATTTCAGGGCTGGATATTTTTTTAGCTTTTCCTATGCTGTAAGGAAATTTGTAAATACTTCTTTTAGAAAATAATATTTTAAATCTGAACTAATAGAAAATTTCAAACAAGCAATTTTTATGCTTTTTATTGGTGTAAATAAGTAAAAAATATTAAAATATTCCAAAACGAATTTTTGAAAGTTTTGTTTAAAATTCTAAATTGTGTTGCTTTTGTAAAATTCTAGATGAGTATTATAGAACAATTTCTATAAAGGAATATTATTTCAATTATATTTCATAATACATCATAGTGATAAACACTTTTGGCATCTTAGTTTATACATTTAATTCTAATATTAAAATTGTATTTAACCGTAATAATTAATTTTGCTTTTTTGTATTTTATAGTGATTATTTTTAAAATTTAATTTTAGTTCTGCATAAGATTTTTATTTACTGTTAATTTAATTTATTAGCTCGAAGCGGCATTTTACCCTGTTTCACTATAAATGTCCGTGTCTCCTTGCAAATTGTTGTTACCAAATATTAGCGCCCTGTATTATATTTAAAGAAATTAAATAATGAAGAATCAGCATGAATATATGCATGGTTCTCGCACTGTGACAAAAGGACAGTATCTAGAGCCATCAAACTTTGAATAATGTAATCCTCCACCAGAACATGGGCATCTGGACGGTCGAATTTCGAATTTGTTATAATCTATTTCATATTTTGTAAAACTTTAACCAATTTTTTTTAACAAACTCAACGACTTCAAAGCGAGCAATGTACGACTGTACGAAAATAACATTTTTATCTCCAGTGCGGAAATTCTAAAGATATGCTGTTTTCAAACGTATGTGGTTTACGGGCGAAGAACACGATATTCAATAAATATAGGTAACACACAAAACTTTAAAAAAAGGTTCCTTTTGGGCGTAATATAAAATCTGAGTACTTCTAGATTTTATCTTTTTTTTCCCCTTCATTACACTCAGAAAATTTTATGCTCCAAATTTTATAAATTACTAAAATAAATAATCCACTTTAATGTTAATAAATTAATGATGATATAATAAATAATCGTTTTGTAATGTTATTATAGTTTTGAAAATCACTGCCTGAAAATATTTATTAAATTAAAAAAAATCAGATCTTGTTTAATTTTACCCTATTTATTTCGAAGCATCAGGTACTATCAATCTTATTTAATTTTACTTTATTTTTACGCGAAATTAAGTTCATAAATTTTGTGCTTAGAGTTTTTACCGTTTTGCCAAAGTAAAGGTGTTTGTACAAGAACTACGCGTGAAAAACATGCGTGAAATGCAGTAAAAAGTGCTTTAATGCGATATACAAAGTATCACATTTAATGATTAAAAGAGTTATGTGGTATAAACGCCATAGGTTTTCAGTGTTAAAGTAAACCAGATAGTCCTTACTCTTCTGCCGACTTGTAGGTGATGCGCGCCCCGCACACTGGGTTAGTCTATCTCTTATAGGTTCCAGCTGGCACCTCCCTCTTTACATCTCTGACTCCGCCCACATTCCCGTCCAGACTTTACAGCATCATGTGCCCATTCTGGGATATGTATCATCGAGCCGCCAACGTCGCGTGCTTTACAGAGACAGCCCTGCATAACAGTATAATGAAGTATAATACGAAATATTTTGTGGTTAAGGAGCAGACGGAACAGCAAACTACCTATGACAGCTAGAGCTGGAGCAAACCGCATATATTCGTTACTGAGTAACGGGTACATCGGTTGACTCGAAATACCGATTCGGTACTCACAAATTCATTTCGTTACTCGCATCTGTTCGGGTTACTGGCATCTGTCGTACGATGCGGTTTATTCGAGTCCGAATGATGCGGTTGCTATACGAATACGAATGATGCGGTTTCTATGCGAATACGAAAGATGCGGTTGCTGTTCGAATACGAATGATACGGTTGAGTCACAATGCGCTCATATTTTTCATAGATAATTTTGAATTGTTTGGGGAATCGGGCAAACTCTTGTTTACATTATGTGTTTTAGTTGAAATACTATTTAGTTGTTGATATTTAAGAAGATGAGCAATTTTGATAGCGTGAAGCGTTATTTTGTATTTGCTTTTTACATTAAGATTTATGTTTGTAATTTGAAAATTTAGATGATCCCCCCCCTTGAGCGTGCCATAGTGAGATTTTATTGATTTGAAATATTTACATACTGCACTTAGGTATTGTTTATATAAGAATATGTAGGTTAATATAGGTTCTTTACTTCTTTGTACCAAATAAAATGGTAGTAAGTATTGTAATCGAGAAAACTTTTGGGTATCATATTTTAACGGAAATATCCATTTTTGGCGAGTACGGAATCC